AGTTAAAAACCTAATTACACATTTTTTTAATTAATATTTAAGAAACACAATCATTTTTTTTAAAGAACACCGTAAGTTAAAAAACCCCAATCAGTTTAAAAATACAATCACCTTGTGATCAAAATGGAGTGTAAAAAATCACAATCACATTTTTGTTCATAATAAATAATAATAATAAAAAAAGAATCATTGAAAAATAAATGAAAAAATTACTTACAGACTTTGAAAGATTGTGTTAGAGTGAAAATTGGTGAATTGTTGGATGTGTCAGTCTTTTTTTTTTTTTTTTTTTTCCATATTCTATCCAACTCTCTCCTCTCTCTCTCTCTCAAACTTTCTCTCTATCTTGGTTTGTCCTTTCAGTAGAAAAAATAAGTGAAGATTGTAAAAAAAATATAATGTGAGGTGGTATGGGGAGAAGTCAAAAAGACTGAAATTGAATGCTGTGGTGGTAGGGTTTATAATTTTCAAATTTTGAAAATGTTGAAATTGAATAGTGGGCGGGAGTAATTTTTTTTTTTTAAATCAAAAAATTAAAAAATTAAGAATAAAATTTTATATTAGAATTTTCACGAAACGTGTGAGTTAGAAACTCCGCTCTCTTATATAATACACAGATAGATAGATTAGAAAATGGATCACCAAGGTCCATTAAGTTTGTCAAAAATCATGAAAACTTGATCAAATGAATTAAGGGGGGCAACAAGTGGGGTCCAATTTTTCAATAGAAGAATCAACCAGATTTTTCAGTAATAGTAGTATTGGTGGATATTAGCCAAACCCTAGACAAGCCAACCACATGCCTATTAACCCAACCCAACCCAAAAGCAAAGTCAAAAAGCAACAGAGACGTGAACGCAATTCTGAACACTCCTAAACATAAGGCTGTTAATAGTGGCAATTCATTGTGAAAGTGCTTCCCTAACTGAATTCAGAATATATGTGTAGATATTTTGAAACACCCTTGCTATGAGTTGAACAGTTTGTTAGACAATGCAATTCAAAACTAGTAATGTTTAATGTTGAAAATGAATAGAATTGTTCGTGAATAAATTTGAGTTTAACTTGGTAAGAACTTGTTTGAATTTGGTTTGATAAATTTTTTTTTTTATGTTTCAATTCGGACTCGTTAAAATTTTAATAAAATAAATCCAAACATACTAAAACTCGACTCATTAGTTGACTCGTTTAACATTTATTATTTATATATTAAATAATATAAAAATATGTATAAAAAATAAGATAACTATGTTTTCTATATATTCAAAAAATATAAATGTAACTAATAGCTAACTATAGATAATACATTTATATAATAGTGGTGGTAGATATTATTATTTTGGTAAAATATTGACTTTGTTTTTAATATGTTTATATATATTGTATATATAATTGTATAATCAAAATTTTAATTGTAACTTTAATCTCATACGCAAGTATGAATTTATATTTTATTTATTTATTTTGGGCTCGTTAAGGCTCGTGAACAGGCTCAAACTCAAGCCTAAGCTAATTCGGTTCGAATTCGGTTCATTAAATTTTTATTGAGCTCGAGCTCAAACTTGAATTCGAACTCGTTAAAATATTAATAAATAAACCTAAACATATTAAAACTCGATTCGGGTCAGCTCGTTTGTAACCCTAGTAATGTTACATGGACTAAAAATTTTATTAAAAAAGTTACGTGTTCATATATTATTAGATGTTGTAGCATGATTATTTTTTTTTACAACCAATAATATTTAATCTCTTGTACTTTGAATAAGAAAATTAGTATGTATAGAATTATACAATGCAAAAGCAGGGCTTTGATTTGATTAGCTAAGATTAGAGAGTAAGACTAGCATATTATACGATTGATCTGCTCTGATGTTGTTTTAAGAAAATTATGCAAGAAAATGTTTCTTGAAAAAAATTGAATTAAAAGAAAAGTAAAGAAAAAATAATAATAAATACTTTTCTGTTAACTGTTCAATTTATAAGAAAAATTATATATAAAACAATTTAAACTTTCTCACGATACATAATCGTGTACATTCTACAAGAAAGTATTTGAGGGAAAAGTGTTTCCCTTCAAGAAAAAAATTATAGTGGGACTTATATTTTCCAAACTATTTTATTTTCCTTTTCCTTTCGCTTTCATTTTCTGTTAATTGAGTTCGGGCAGGGAATGGATTATATCCAGCTTGGGATCTAATTTAGTGGGCCCATTTCAGGTCGTACCTTAGTAATCTGAATCATTCACGTGATGGAGTTTGTTAAATAAATCATTTATAAAAAAAAATCAATATGGCGTTTGGGATTTGCTTATTTGGTGGGTTTTTTTTTTTTTTTGACTTTTTTTGGTCTTTAGTGATTTTTTATTATTATTTTTCAAAAAGTTTTAGATTTCTAAATTTAGTTTAACAAGACGAATTGGAAAATTAATTTTTTTAAAAAAAAATTCTAAAAAAAGTTCAAAAGTAGACAAAAATAAGCTTACAATAGTGGATCTTTTTTTTTGCTTATTTTGGCTTTTAATTTTTTTAAAGAAATTTTCAAATTATTATTATTTTTTAAAAAAAATTTATCTACACAAGATGGACCAAAAAATTAAAAATAATTAACATAATTTTGAAAAAAAAAATGGTGGCTTATATAGCTCATGCCAAATAGCGAGTACTCACAGAAGTGAATAACATTTGTCCTAAAAAATATAAATGGTATATTATCAAAATTATACTTGTTATCTTTTTTTATCTTATTTTTTTTAAGACTAATGTGATCTAATCATATAGTTATTGATATCAATAGCTTAGATTTTTTTTTGTGTAAATACTTTACTCAATAAAACTTACAAAATGAATAGATCTCCAAATTAGACCACGAGACAAGCCCAACAAGACCTCTCCGGCTAGGCAGAATCCAATCTCTTTTGTTAATGTTAAAGGATGAAACATGATAAACCAATAAGGCAAGCAGACAAGTTCAATGGCCTATTTGGTCGTTAATTAGAGTAAATGCAATACATGAAGACGTATTGATGAACTTTGTACCCAAAAAAAAAACTTCAACCTATCAAAAATGATAGATGTACAGAAATCAAACATAAAAAATGTATTGTATGACAAATTAATTTTCAATATGACATGGGCTGATACATAAACAAATTCTAGTCACAATATACTTCCTATGGGTACTTTCAGTATTTCAACTTTATGCCCCTAACATTTTTGTTAAACTATTATGACTTTTGCAAAGGGGGAGCATATTGGGTGATGATTGAGACCCCCTCCAATCACCACCCCCACCACCCCTACACACACGTGGCGGGTGGTGATTGGAAGAGAAGGAAAAAAAAAGAAAAGAAAAAGAAAAAGGGACCAATCATGGGAAGAGGGGGTCAAGGGGGTGAGTAAAAAATGGGGTCCAAGTCATTATTCGAGCATATTTTCATAAAGTTTGATTTTTTGGAAAAATGTTAGTACAGAAAATCTATTCTACGCGGGGTAAGTCATATGAAAATAACAATTTTTTTTATTTTAAAAATAAAAAAAAAACTAATTTTTCATCCCTTGCAAAGAGGTAATAGAAAGATCAACGAAATAGGCTTGGGTTCGGACTTGACCCGCCCCCAAGGCCACCCAAGACAAGTATGATATTGTGACAAAATTTTGAAAGTATTCAATTTAAAAATCAATTAACTTGAATGATAAAAGGGTAAAATGGGACAAGTATTTATTGTAAAATTATATAATCTACATACTAGAAATTAAAATATCATATAAGCATGGTTAAATAATTAAAAAATAAATTTAAATACTTTCCATTTGATTCCACATATTTTGGTTTCCAAGAGAGTTAAAAAAACCATGGCACAGACAATTACCCTCCCTTCTCTATTTTTTTTTACTTTGTCTTTTAATGAGACAGATCTTGCAATCACACGCGCGCGCGCGCACACATATATATATATATATATATACATACAGAAGAATAAAATTACACCAATATTTTTTACATTTTATCTCTTGTATCATTTTAATTCTTACACTTTTAATTGGCTTTAATTGGACCATTTATTTTAAATTTTTGGTCCCATAGATAATATTGTTAATGTTTTTGACAAAAAATTGATCACCGAATTAATTAAGGTTAACTCACTGAGTTGTACCAACTTATAATTTTGCCCATAAAATTATGACACATGCCTTTTATATACACATTTTTCACTAAAAATGTTAATAGTTGTATTCAATTTGATTAAATTGAGACAAAATCATAAATTTAATATTAAAATTGAGTCAATTAAAATTACAAAAACCAAGATGATACAAATACTAAACTACAAGGATTAATGGAGTAATTTGTCCTATATAAAACTTCAATTAAAATAAGGTAAAACTTCAATTAAAATAAAGTTATAGTAGGAGAGGAGATGGGCCTAAAACAACAAAACAATTATTGAGCCTCAATCAAGGAATCCAAGACAAAGCTCTACACTTCCATACCATAGTCTCATATAAGAAAATACTTAATGGATAACAAAGTTTATTTGGACTCATACTATTTAATCTAATTGAAAAACTTTAACTTGTTTTCCTTAAATCATAGAAGATATACAATCAATGACAACCCAAACTAAAATCCATCAATTCTTATAGGGAAGTTTCAACTATTCATTCTACTAATTATGCACTTACAAAAATCCATCACTGCACATGTACATGTAAACCACAAATTTGTGGTCCATTTTCATCTTCCTCATTTTTTATATCACATGTGCTGTGGAAAATTCTTATGGAGCCTAACTTCCATACACTTGAATTGCATGGAGAGCTTTGCAGCCATTGATAAGGACTACCATTAACAATGCATCACAAATATTTCATGCAAGTTTTCTCTATAAATACCTTATCATCTTCCCTTTCTTCCCATCCATCATCTACCTTTCTCCTTCTCTCCCTCTCCACACAAACATAAACACACAAACACATACATAAACCCTAGCTTGCACTATTATGGCGCTGCCAAGGGTTTCTTTCATCTTGCTACTAGTGATAGCCATAACCATTATTGTCACCCTTGTAGCACCAACTAGTGCAAGCAATGAGCCATTTCGAGGGACTTATCATCGTGTTCTTTCCCATAGTCCTCGTGCTCCTTTGGCGACATGTAACAAGTACCCTAGAGTCTGTGCAGCTGAGGGTAGTCCTGGCCCTGATTGTTGTGGTAAACAATGTGTTAATGTGATGACAGATAAACTTAACTGTGGAAAGTGTGGGAAGAAGTGTGTGTACTCAGAGATGTGCTGCCAAGGAGAGTGTGTGAACCCATCTGTCGATAAGAAGCATTGTGGCCGATGCAACAAGAAGTGCAACAATGGAGGCTCATGTGTTTATGGGTTGTGCAGTTATTCTTAGAGTTATACTTGTTTGTTTTGCTCCTATCAAAAGCAAACAAATAGTACTATGCAGTCATAATAAGAATGTTTGTGATTTGGTTAAGTAAAATTCAAGATTATGTTTGAAAATAAAGGCAATTAATTGCTCTATCAATGGGTTTGGCTATTGTTATTCTTCTAATACATGTGCCAAATAAAGATTAATGTTTAGGGTTTAGGGTATATTGCTTTATGAAACATGTATTACACTTGATTGCTTTATCAAGGGCATTGGCTATTGTGATTCTTCTACTAAATAAAGAATAAAGTTTCGCTCACCATAATTCAATGTTTTATAAATAATGTATTATACTATTATTGAAAAGAATAATAAAAAGAAAAGAAAGATAAAATAAACTTGTCACTGATTTTTTGAAAGCGTAGAAATTTAAATTGTTAAAAAAAAATTGGAATGCTGTTTGTGTTCAATTAGGCTATTGAGATGCAGTCGGTTATTTTATAAATGTATTGAAGAAGTACATTTTGAGAGTATCGAGAATGTATTCAAAAGAAAATGACAAAACACTTGTGGAACATGTATTTAAAAGTAGAATTAAAAATATTATTTTCATTACACTTGTGAAATACTATTTATTATTCATTATAGATTTTTTAAAAGAAATATAATTAAAAAATATATAAATTGAGAAAAAACATGACTAAACAAATTTACAATAAATAAATAAATAAATAAATAATAAAAAACTGTCATATATCATATTGAGCAATGAATAAAAGTTTTGAATTAGCGGAAAATGGGACGGTGTCATCAATTTTATTTTTTTATAACTTGGTTTTTTTGGTCTATTAGGTTTAGGGATGGTCATGGGTCGGATTTAGAGCGAGTTTGTAAAAATATGTCCCCGTCCTGCATCATATTGGGGCGAGGCAAATTAGGGGTGATAGGGGCGGGGTGGGAGGCGAGTTAATTTTGTAAGTTAAAAAATGAAAATATTAAGGGTAGATTATCAATAGGTCCTAATAGTTGGACTTAATTCCCATCAAGTCCTATTGAAAATAAGTCTTTGTAAAATTGTTATTAAAAAAAAAAATTTTGACAATTTTTTATATGTCGTTAAAAATTGACAATTAGTGACTTTTTGTCATAATTTTTATAAATTATCGCTAAAACTTACAATTAGTGACTTTTTTTATGTCAATTTTTTTTCATAAGACCCATTAAATAATAAGTTCACTTATCAGAACTTACACGTAAGTACCCCAAATATTAATAAAAATTATAAATAATATAGTATATTACAAACAATAATTTATACTTAATGAGAATTATATTACATAATATAGAAAATAGATGAATAAAAATTAATATCAAGTATAATATTTTAGTATTTTAACTTTATTATAATGAAAAATAAATAAATTATATATATATATATATTATATTGTTATTATTTTGCACAAAACAAATTAGAAACATATAAGAACATAAATGAGCTGCCAAAATGACCGGTCTATTTATTAATTAGAAAGTGCTTTATATACATGAGAAATATAACAAAAATGCATAACAAATTGATAAGCAATAGCGTTACAAGCCCATGAATACAGGAGTTTATCTTCTAGTTCTCTATTTTATTGCAACAACCACTTTGAAGCTTTCAAACATTTTGACTTATTCAAAAATACTCCTGCAACTTTATTTCAGCAATATTTGAATATCTTAGCAGCCTACTCTACATAACACATCAGCAACTGAATCATCTTCTCAACACTCCTCCTTGGATCTGCTCATTCCTAATTTTTCTCTTAGGAATTCAAACTTGACTTTAGAAAGTGTTTTTGTCAAAATATCAACAACTTGATTTTCTATTTTGCAATGGAGCAACCGTACTTTTCCTTCTTTATGTACTTCCCTAAGAAAGTAAAGTACAATCTTAAAATGCTTTGTTTTCCCATGAAAAAATGGATTGTTAGATATAAATATAGCAACTTGGTTATCAACTAAGATTTGTGTGGACTCCTCCTATTCCATATGCAGATTTGTTAACATGTTCCTAAACCACAGAGCTTGGTTTACGGCTACTGTAGCAGGCACATATTCAGCTTCAGTAGTACTTTGTGCATTAATCTCTTGCTTCCATGAACACTTGGAGAACATGCATGATCCAAAACTAAAACAAAAACCAGTGTACTTCTCATATCATCAATAGAACCTCCCCAATCACCATCAGAGAAGCCATGAAACTTAAAATCTGAACAATGAGTGAACATTATGCCATAATTGATAGTGCCTCTGATATACCTCAGAATCCTCGTTCCAGCTTGAAATGCACCTCGCTTGCACAATGCATAAATCTCAAAAACAAACTCACAACATGTATTATATCAGGTTGGGTTGCTGTAAGATAAATTAAGCAACCAATCAAACTCCTGTACAAACCTTCATCAACCTTATCAGCTCAATCATCCTTACTAAATATTTCTTTCTGGTTCATAAAAGTTGATGTAGCTTTACAGTCTTCCATGTAAAATTTTTTGAGGATCTCCTTTGCATGCTTTTGTTAGTAGATAAAGACTTCATGTTGCCTTCGCTTTACTTCCATTCCCAAAAAATAGGACATCAAGGCCAAATCTATCATCTCAAACACCTTAAGCATCTTTTCTTATAAGCTCGTCATTGCTCCTTGTTATAAGCAAATCATCAACACAAACAGACACAACAATTAAGTCAGAAGCCTCCTTTATGTACAAAGTAAATTCACTCAGGCTTTTTACAAAGCCTAGGCTTAATAAGTAGTTATCTATTCTACTGTACCAGGTCCTTGGTGCCTGTTTAAGACCGTACAATGTCTTTTTTTAGTAAATACACCTTATCCTCATGCCCCTGCATAACAAATCCCTCTAGCTGCTCTACATATATTTCCTCCTGCAAAAAAACTATTCAAAAAAGCTGATTTAACATCTAGCTGATACACCTTCCAGCCTTTTTGTGCTGCAATTGCTAGCAGTAACCTAATTATATCTAACCTTGCCGCAAGTGCAAAGGTCTTAGAGAAATCAACATCGTAGATTTGAGCATAACCCTTTACCACTAGCCTTATTTTATGCTTGCTAGTTGATCCGTCTACATTTAACTTAGTTCTAAACACCCATTTGACTCCTATAATCTTCTTATTTTGAGGTTTTTCCATAAGCTCCCAAGTGTGATTCTTCTCTATCATTCTCATCTTCTCTTTCATAGCTTCCATCCATTTCTAATCTTTTTCAACTTCTTCAAATCCTGCAGGCTCCATTACAGCAACATTCTTTGATAAATATCAGAAAAGCAGTCTTGTTCCCCTGACTGGTGGGTCATCAACATTGTCTTCAAAAGGTTACAAATCTTCTAATTTTGATCTTTTTCTCCATCATCCCAATTCCACTACTCATTCTCTATGAAAGTAACATCTCTATTTATCAGAATTTTCCCTGTTTGAGGTTAGAAAACTTTGTAAGCTTTAGAGATGTTGTTGTAACCAATAAAGACATAGGATTCTGCTTTTTTATCAAGCTTGTCTCTTTTCACCTAAGGCACATATGAAAAACACAGACAACCAAATACTTTGAAGTTATGTAATGAAGGTATGTATCCATACCAAGCCTCAAATGGTGTGTTTTTTTCTTTCAAAGCCCTTATTGGAAGTATGTTAAGTAAAAAAGATTAAAAAAAAAAAAAAAAAAAAAAAAAAAAAAACAGTATTTGCAGCCTCTACCTAAAATTTTTTTTAGCAGCCCTTTTTCATGTAGTAGACATCTGGTCATCTCCATGAGTGTTCTATTCTTTCTCTCACTCGCTCTATTTTATTCTAGAGCGTATGGAGCTGTTAGCTAGTGCTCGATTCCAGCTTCTTCACCAAAAAAAAAAAAAAATGAACTGTTCTAAGGTGTATTCCTTGCCATTATCTAATCTTAATACTTGCATCTTGCAGCCACTCTAGTTTTTCACCCAAGCTTTGAATTTCTAGAACACAGTTGCAACCTCAGATTTAAATCTTAAGAAGAAATCCAACACATTCTTGTTAATGATGGAGTTCGTTGAGGCCCTCCAAGATAAGTATGTATTAGTTACAGCTTCTGTGAAGCCCTCCAGGCCTTTTTAGGAAATGGCAATCTACTTTGTTTTCCATATTGACAAGCCTTACAACCAAGTAGATGCTCTTCTAGTGGAGCTAACCCTCGTACCAACTGATTTTTCTGCATATGTATGAGTGCTACTGAAAATGGCCCAATCTCTTGTTCCAAATTTCTCTTGTATTCATAGAGACTTGATATATTGTCTGCTCCTCCTTCATTGGATCCAGAGAGAAGCACTTGCCTTTCATTTTGATTGTACACACCTCGTGGTGATCTACATCTCTAATCATACACTTTTTGTCTTCAAACAATAGTTTATAGCCTTTCTCCAGTAGTTGACCAACACTTAGCAAATTTTGATCAATTTTAGGCACATATAAAACATCAGTAATTAATTTTGTATCTAAAACACTTTCAATTGCTACTGTCCCTTTGCCTCTTAGTTCAATGAACTCACCATTTTCAACCTGACTTTGGAAATTTTAGTTCTATCTAGCTCTCTAAAGAGCTCTTTGTCATAGGTCATATGGTTCGTGCAGCCACTATCAACTAACAAATGTTCATTAGAGCTTTTGTTTGCATAACATGAGGCACCAAATAGGTACCATTTTAGCTTCGCCATCTTGCTATTGTTTACTTCTACAAACCTTCTCTATGTGGCGTAATTGGTTGTTGCACTTTCTGTAGTTGATGTCAGGCCCTCACCAACTTTTAGATTGAGGATGATTTGTCTATTTGCAATGCTGGCATTGAGGGTAAGTTCCTCCTTTATTGTTGCTATCTCTAGCTCTAGCATTACATTTGCTTGAGTTGTCTTTATTGCCCTTCTTTTTCTTGCCTTTACTTTTATCCTGGATTTGTAGTTTGGCCTGCAAAGCTCCCTCCACAAACTCTTCTTGCCCAATC